ACGCCGGGCAGAACTGGCAGGTAGGAGCTGGAGAAAGGCTGGCACTGAGGCTTCGGGCACCAAGGGAAGGGCAGGCGGGGCGCACCCTGACCACCAGCATGCACTGGGCGCCCCAATTCTCCTGCCTCTGCGCCTGTCCTCATCTGTGACACCTTCCCCATACCACTTCTCCGGGCTTGGGTAGAGTCTGAGATCTTGATCGTCCTTTCTGCCCAAAAGCCTGCTTGGGCTCCCTAGTACCCAGACAGGCCAAATTCGCCTGTTCTGCCAATGACCAGCACTCTGGGACTTAGAAATATGCTACACTGTTAACACCACCTAAACAACTGTGACCCTGCCCTTTTGGCCAGAGATTAAGTTACTGACTCCGCTTCAAATTTGCCCTTGTAGGCTTCACTGGGGTGCCGGGTCAGAACCTACAGACCGTATTTCTGGGCTCCATGCCAGGCTCAGCCAACAGGGAGCAACAAGGAGCCACTGCAGTCCCACCAGGGTCCATAAATGCCATCAGTCTTGTTTTTGCTTTAACAACAGGCAACCTGTTCCGGAGGGTCTCTTCCTTCTCAGTGCACCCAACTTGCACAGCCACATCCTGGCTGGCAGACCACTGTCACACCAGGTAAGCCCCCTATATCTGTATCACAACTCATCTAAGTGTTTCTCAGTCCCAAGCCCAGTTGTCTACTTCCTCAGAACCAGTCAGGTCCACTGCTGTGAGATTGGGGGCGGGGGGTGTCTTAGGCAAGCTGTGCACACATATGTATGTACATACTCTCGTTCAAGCACTAGCTCTCGCAAACACACACACATACGTATGCATATATATCTGGCATTCCAATCACCTAATGAATATGGAGAGGAAAGAATACTGCCCTCCCAAAGAGCAGGTGAGCTGGAGACCCTAGAATAGAGGTGTTTAATTCTATGCCTGCTGCAAGTGTAAACAAGCACAGATGAAAGGAACCAGTGGCAGCCACACCGTTCCACTCGAAAGCAGCCCTCCTGGCAAACTGCAACCTCCTAGAATGCACTCTTTCAGCCACCAACCCCATTCCATTCTTAGAAAACCCAAGGGGCAATGCAAAAGCTTCATGGAAGAACTGTGGTTGAGAACCAAACAGACAACCTTGGAGGGGTCCAATATGTCTACAACATGGAAATCAGGCTGCATGCTCGGGGAAGCAAGGCAAAAGGGAAAGCTTCATGTAAGCTGCATCAAATACCTTCTAACAAACACCTGTACCCAGGTCAGCTGATTGCTACTCTCTTGTGACTTTAAACAAGTCTCTAACCCAGTCTTGGCATCAGGACCCCAGCCTGCACAGTGACATTAGCAGCCACAGCCTAAGTGATAGAGGTTAACTGAGTGGCAAGCATTTGCTGCTCAGCCCAGGAGTGCATCAATCCATAGGGCTATAAGAGCTGGCCGACACTGTGAAAAACAACACGCTGCTTATGTAACACTTTCCTCCAACAGGCTTCCAAACACCTTCTCTATACCTGGCTCTGGAGAAACAGCAGGAGGCAAGAAAGACAGCCCATGAACACAAGGTGAATGTAAGACTACAACCAGTGGTTAACACAGACAGTACACAAGGGTCCAAGAAGACGAACCCTCACAGGCACCCCAGAGAGCATCTCAAAGGAAACACCTTGTACTGAACCGGTGAGGAGCCAGCAAACTGGCCGCTCTTAAGCCTGCAAAGGCTAAGAGCTCCAATCTCCACTTCCTACTCTTAAGTTATGGGGAAGTCAGTACTGCAAATACTCTGGTTTCTCAGGGTCCCAGGACTCAGGAGGAAGGTTAAAAGTACTGTGGGTATGTAGGGCTCGGCCAGGGCTGGTGGGAAGGAGGAGTTAACTCTCACCTGTAGGCTTTGAGTCTACACAGAAAGGAATTCCCAACCAACTTACTACCAGTTTTCATGCTGCAAATGAGCTTTCTAACCACAAGTTGGACTATAGCCTCTCCACCCACAACTCCCTCGGCTGCCCGCTGTCCTCAGAGCAAGCCCCAGTTTCTTCTGGAGATGCTCCTCGGCCGGCCCCAGCCATCACCTTGGAGCCCCAGCCCATCACCGAACAGGTACCATGAACTACCTTTCCCTGCCTTTTCAGCTCTGGTTTGTCATAGTTCTCAATCCACACAGACCCCTCCAGGACCGACCTCTCATGCCCTCCTACCTGATCTTGTTGTGGCTACCCCTGCCTGCCGAGGGGCCACTGATGTCCTTTTCCTGCTCACCATCCCTGTCCCGGTCTTTCTCTTCCTGAAGCCGCTGAAGAAGCAGTTGATGAGGGAGGCTTCGGAGAGTGGGCCCAGGAGAAGCTGCGGGCTGTGCATCACCTTTTAGGTTGATGTCACTAGCTGAGCGCTGTAAGGGCCGAGGGGATGCCAAGCCACTCGGGCCAGCCAGACGTCGTCGTTTTGCATAGCTGGGGGTTTCCCTGAATGGTACTAGAGTAGACATGCACAAGTTAGACTCTGAAAACTAATAATTGATTGGGGGAGGGTAGAATTACAACATTTCTCCTTTCCTTTTCCTCCATCTAAATCATCCCGTATCCCCTTCCTTACTCTTTCAAATTCATGGCCTCCCTTTTCATTATTATTACATGCATATATGCATATATATTCCTAAATATAAGCAGCTCCGTACACATAATGTTACTTATATGGATGATTTTGAGAGCCATCATTTGGTATTAGATAACCAATTAGTGTGCTCTTCTCTGGGGAAGACTGTTTCTCCCACTCCCAGCATGCCTCGGTTGCTGTCTATAGTTCTTTCTGTAGGGCAATTGATCTTTTTTTTAGTGTTTCAAGACAGGGTTTCTCTGTGGAGGCCTGGCTGTCCTGGAACTCACTCTGTAGCCAGGCTGGCCTTGAACTCACAAAGATCCACCTGCCTCTGCCTCCTGAGTGCTGGGATTATGAAAGGCATGCACCACCACTGCCCAGCTGGGCAATTGACCTTTTAAAACTAAAATACTGGGCTAGAAGATAGCTCAGTCATTAAAGTGTTTTGTGTGCAAAACTGAGGACCTGTGTCTCGGGGGGAAAAAAAAAAAAAAAAACCTGAGGACCTGAGTTCAATTCTCAGCACCCACAGAAAAAGCCAGGTATGTTGGCATGCACTTGTAATCCCAGCACTGGGGACGTGAACAGGCAGATTACTTAGGGCTCACTGGCCAGCCAGCCTACCATAATCAGTGAGCTCCAAGCCTTAGTGAGAGAGCCTGTCTCCAAAATCAAGGTGGGTAGCTCCTGGAGAAAAGTCCCAAGGTTGGCTTCAACACACCTACCTGCATATACATAAATCTACACAGAGAGAGATAAATGAATAAGTCTATAATGTGTTCTAGGAAGTGCCCCAATCCTAGGAAATCAGAAGTTAGCTACATTAATGAAGTCACCACTGGGTGACCACATCCCAGTCATGCTGCCTTCAACCCTAACTTTAAGGTTAGAAGCTTGCTCCTCTCTTCTTAGCTAGCTAAGGCCTTGGAATGCCCAGATCTGTTGTCAGAACTTCTCACTTTACGAGGTTCAGTGTAAAGCAGGCTATATGTGACAAATCTCATCAGGCTACTGCCGTTTGAGACTGTGTACTATTGACTCTAGCCAAGGAAACTAAAAAAGACATTCTAGACCAGCGTCAGTAAACACCCTAAAAAGAATCAGGCAGTAACTATTTCAGGCCCTGCAAACCACAGAATCTCCACTGCCATGTCTCAAACGCTATCACAGTAACATGAAAACTGCCACAAACAGTACAGAAACAAATGGGCCTATCCATGTTCCAATAAAACTTTACTTTAAAAACAGATGAGATATCAACTGTATGTTTTGTATAAGAGAATCACTTTAAATCCAAAGGCATACATATATTGAAAGTTAGAATATTTTTGTTTGTTTTGCTTTGTTTCAAGACAGGGTCTCACTATGCAGTCCTGGATGTCTTGTAACTCACTATGTAGACCAGGCTGGCCTCCAACCCACAGAGAACTGCCTGCCTTTGATTCCCAAATTCTGGGATTAAAAGTATGTGACAAACCGGGCATTGGTGGCACATGCCTTTAATCCCAGAACTCGGGAGGCAGAGACAAGCGGATCTCTGTGAGTTTGAGGCCAGCCTGGTCTACAGAGCGAGTGCCAGGATAGGCTCCAAAGCTACACAGAGAAACCCTGTCTCGAAAA